TATATATGATCTAAACGGGGACGTGTATAAATTATATCATATTATTATTGTATGGGTAGGTACTATATGATATACCTACACGTGTGTATATATATATATAATTATGGCCACACACTCGACCCGCGTTTTACATGCTCGTGCATAGTGTCGTCTCGGGATTCTCCTTCGACGCGGAGGAGCGTGTAAAACGCGCCAACTACAATGGCAGGCGATTTATAATTTTCGGACCGCGCGACCTCACCCGGCGAACGCGCGCTGATCGCCGTCGCAGCCCGCGAGATTAATATCGCGTTCGACAGGGCGGTCTCATTGTGCCCTTTAATGATCGTATATACCTACGTGTCGTACACGGACACCGCACCATCGCGTTTATGCTTCCAAAACACCCATTAGAGAGGTCACGTAAATTACGTATACAGGTAGGTATATTATATATTACGTATAGGCAGGTACGTGTGTGGATGTCGTTGTATTATGTGTATAGATGATGTATGCGTACCTATTATATATTTATACCGCGCATCGAGCACTGCTGCTGCAGACGATGAGGCTCTATTCATTGCTAATTTGAACATCTTTAGACCGCTATTGATATTATATACGCGCGCTCCTCTCGTTGTATATGATATTATATATTGTGTGTGTGTGTGTGTTTATACGCACAACAATATTATTATACGTATGCTGATGCAACGACACGGCCAAGCTCATTTGTATCCGCCGAAGGCATATTATTCTTAAGTATAAACACGCACACACTCGCGCCGGTGATCCTCGCCTCGCTTGCTGGCCGACACTCGTATACTCGCAGCGCAACAAAAGCAGACACGGCTCGCCGGCTGTTTTATCATATATTATTATTATGTATAGGTAGGTGGTAAGGTCATTGTAGGTCCTTGTAGGTCCTTCTGACGTGTCCCGCCCGCGTAGTGCACATACGTGATAATAATGATATATTGTCAATAGTAATTTGATCGACACGAGCTTTGTTTTAAACTTAATTCTTTTTTTTTTTGATAAATGTGGTTGTTATGATTATGTTTTAGATTCAATCACATATTTGGTGCATAATTAATACAAATTTTTAAAAGCATATTCATATAGTTCATAAAAATGTCATAGCAATCCCTATAGGTATACACAGACTAACACTGAATACCAATCACGTAATTTTCCGGGACAATAAAAATCTACACAGATATATCGTATAATACCTATTCACATATGTATATATATTATTATTTATTATTTTATTTTATTTTAATTCTAATGGTTATTCAAAAATCACTTCACATTGCATCCCGATCGAGCGAATCCCTGTCAGGTATTGTATCTATCATCACGGCCAAAGAAGCCATTATATAGAAGTTGTGATTTACATAGTTTTATTTCGTGGGTCCGTTATTTTATAAATAGGGAAATTAGATTGTTGGTTTCAGATACAGTGAAACTACCATTATTAACAAAATTTTCTGTTAACGAAATATTTTTGAGAACGAGACCAAATCAAAATAAAGTGTATTTAATTCTATGTTTGACGAAACTCTCTATAATACGAATTTCTTGTTCCCGTGTGACTTGGTAATATGGACGTTTTACTGCAATATATTTATGTCTATTATTTCCTATTTTATAGATTAGGTATATTAAATAATTCTAATATAATAATAAGACTAAATTATTATGACGCATCTCCGCGGACATGTTATTTTGACGAACTTCATTGACGAGATCGAATAAAATTTTTTTTTTAACTCATCATATTATTTGCATACGAAACCGTATTCGAGTTCAATAAAATACTTAGGTATAGTAGCTCGCAAGAGTTTACATAAACATGTTGTGTCATACCTAACAGTCTGAGGGCGCTGATCGAACAAGTTTTGTAAACGCGCCCGTAGGGTTGTTTTATTATATTATTATTTAGGTTTTTTTTTTTTATTAATTTTTCAACAGAGTAAATATTGTATATATAACAGCCAGCTGACGTTTAATCAATAGCCGGTAATCAAATTACGGGAATCATACATCGTACTCGAGCACCGCCCCAATATACTGTAGCAGTGATGATTATATTTTTATTCCTACATTAAACTATATGAAAACGCCCAAAATCCACATCGATACATGACTTTCTCAATCCTCCCCTAAATAAGCATAATCAGGCCTACGTTTTAATCATGATCGCTTCAGTTATAGGTTTTAGAAATGTTTAGATACCACGGTATAGGTAGTAGGTACCTATAATACGACCTACCTAGTATTTGGGTTTTCAACATCACCGCACGGCTGGCGGATATAAGACCGTACGATACTGCAGCGGTATTTTGTGCCGCTTACACTTTTGACACTTTTAGATTTATTTTACACTTGGTTTTTTTCATATTTTTTTCGGATGCCTGCGATGGGAGGAGTTCTGCTGGGAATATTATTTTTTTAATACGCGATGATTTCTAGTTGCTTTCAAATTGTATAACACTACACAGCAGTGCACCTTCTCCTTCCTAGTTCCTATACAATGCGTCTAGGTGATCCAAGTGATGCAAGTATCTATTTTATTTATTCTTCGTATGATAAAAACAGTCACGCATAAAAATCAGTATATTATTTAAAATCTATTGCATGTATATAAACAAAATATACAGAAATTAGAAACTAGAAAATTATACATAACACATTGCAGTTTAAGTTTAAATACTTATAAGATTACATTTTTAAATTTAAAACTCTAAAATGTCTACCAGAGCATTTTAACATTTAAAAAATGTATATAGTTTCACCTCTCATGTATACCACATGGTGCATAATGTATAGTAAACATTATGTATAATATATAAAACTATTGTACACATACACTCGTTATTTCCTTCTATATCTATAATGGGTTCGAAATCCGTAAAAGTCATCATAACATGTTTAGACAGACTGCTTACGAGAAAAATAATCCCATAAGCATTAGGTATACCTAGGTAATTAGGAGATAAAAATGTTTAATCATAATAATAATACACTTTTCCCGTTTATATCGTATACCTAGCTGTTATTATATACCTATACTTACTATATACCTACCTATCCTATATTTATGTTAACCTTAACACAACACTTTATCGGTGCAATATGTCTGTTTAGGTACCTATATACATCGGGAGTTTCGCAACAGACAATATTTTATGGCGGCGGCCCCTAAGGCTGTGATAAAATATAATAATAATGATATGCAGATGTAATTTTTTTATTTCTTCTCGCCGATAGATGTGTTTGCGCTCAACAACACACTCGTACACACACACACACACACACACGCAACACAGCACAAACTAGCACACGATCTTAACGAGCTGCAAGGCCGTCGTCGTCACTGAAGTGCGTTCCTTTATATTAAATATATATATAGTCAATACTGTATACCCAGTGTATAGTACATTTTGTGTGTAATAGAAAAGTTGATGTCGAACAACAAATACACACACACACGCACTCGTGTAATACTTAGAGTGTGTATATAATATTGTATAAAGGTAGTTATAATAGTAATATTAATATACACACACACACGCATACCACATAGACAGAATAACGGCAGCAGAAGCAGCTATTCGTCTCGTCGTCGTCGGGTGACCCGGCAACGTCGAAAACGCACCCGAGACGGCGGAATATATTATTATTATTATTATTATTATTATATACGGCGCGCAGACTGCTCCGGCAACGTTCCCCCATTTAAGGACCGCCGCCGCCGTAACCACCACGCCCTTGTCCTCCGACCGAACATGGCTCCGGCATTTCAATAATAATAATAATAATAATAATGGGAGAGATATTTCGAAATTAAATGTTTGGGCGCAGAAAGACGCCGCCGCGCAATAATAATATTATCATGCATAGGTGTAGGTACCTATATATCTGTATTATTTATGACTGCAATGTGTATACCATAATATTCAATTATAACTATACATATACGTCATATATTCTTGCATCTTGCACGATCAAAGTTAGGTAGGTACTATCATAATATTATGAGTAAATCAATTAACAGTTGATGATCAATATAGTTTCTCTAAACCGTTTAGGGCCATAATATTTCTGCATTGGACTTTAATTTTAAAACTTTTATATGATGAAAACAAACAGATATTTGCAAAACCACATACAATTATAGAGGTAATATTTAATTTGTCAAAATAATTAAATAAAGTTTACTATATTTTTAGATTCTGAACGGAGCGATGAATAACGTATTGATTTTACAATGATGTGTGTGTTTTTTTTTTTATTTTACATATTTCATGGGAGTCACGTAGGTCAAATGTTCGTTTTGATGGGAGACGTGAGCCAAAAGAGTTTCGGCACTATTTTCTGAAAAGCATTATTATTTATAAAGAAAATATTAGAATTTTCTAGCAGTAATATGAAAGGTTATATTTCAGGACAAACTGCAAAATATACTATATAATATATACTAATTCATACTCGCTTAAAATACATTTTTACGCCGTTATTATAATATTATCGCCAAATGTATTATGCCCTATTTAGTAATGACGTAAGTATATGTATGCTGAATTCTACGCACAGTAAATTCTTTAAATTATATTTATAAACAGTAGTTTGAATTGAATTGTTACCACCCTAACCCCTCTTTACTACCCATTGATACCCCTCATCGCATATAACAATACATATTTGGCGTAATCGTAAGTATTATATAATAATACCATAAAAATAATATTGATATGCTCGTGATATTGAAAAATATTACTTTTAAAATGTCACTTTTTATTGAAAAAGTGATAAAAAAATGATCCGACTCATCGCGATAAGATTATAATATAATATAATATATTATATACATTCGAGTATACAATCTATACCCACTCAGTATCGACTGCCGATCTTTTTCCAAAGTGTTTATGCACACGTGTAATTCGTATTCCGGTATACCTACCCACCTGTTTCTGATAGTGTGTAAAACTTGTGTTTTTTTCTGATTTCAGCGAACGGTGCGTACCAACCGGTGGACGTCAAGAGACAACGGACCGCTTACACCCGGTACCAGGTTCTGGAGCTGGAGAAGGAGTTTCACTTCAACAAGTACCTGACCCGGAGACGGAGGATCGAGATCGCCCATTCGCTAGTGCTGTCCGAGCGGCAGATCAAGATATGGTTCCAGAATCGGCGAATGAAGTACAAGAAGGACAACCATCTGCCCAACACGAAAAACGTGCGCCGGAAAAACGGGAGCACGCAACCGGCGGGCAAAAAGTCCCGGGCCAAAAACAACAACAACAACAACAATAGCAACAATAACAACAACAACAACCATCAGCAGCAGCCGCTGTGCTCGCCGTCCGGGTTGAAAATCGATTCTCACGACATGTCACCACAACAACAACCCGAGTTGAGGTTACAACAGCAGAACGATGCCGGGTCGACATCGCTGATGTCCGCCATAATACCGTCGTCATCGACGTCTTCGTCTTCGTCGTCGTCCGCCGCCGCAGCCGCGTCGGTCGCTGGACACAACAACCCGGCCGCCGCCATGCAGCAACAGCTTCACCAACAACAGCAGCAACAACAACAACAACAACAACTACAGCAGCAGCAACAGCAACAGTTACAACACTGTTTGAACCACCGCGGGCCACTGCCGCACCTGTCTCAACACCTACAACAACAGGGTTTGGCCATCGGGGTCGGCGCCGGCGAGTACGGCCTCACTCAGCTGTAACGGCACGTTTGCAGATCGTGAGCCGCCCGTTTTCCAAGGTATAAGTTACTTGACATAAAATGAAAATATACGAAAAAATAATACTGTAAAATACAACAAATAAAAAATACGAAAGTGATCACCGCGTTATGGTCGATATAAAATATATAGGAATTATACCTAGGTACTATTTTAACCACTGTCATTATACCTACGACAGATGTCATATTCAATTCTTCAGACATTCTATACGGGTTTCTTCTGTACGCTTTATATACGTTTTGTTCTCCCCACGGTCAGATTTATTATATAATAATATACCTTCGCGCCCTCGGATCCAAGTCCCCATGGGATCGATCGATTTTGCGGTGTTTTGGCTCCGTTTTTTTTTGGGGGGGGGGATCTTAATAATATTATAATTATAATATAGACGCGATTGCCACGGTCGATTTTCCATACCATATCGTCTACGATTATACCGAAAACTCGACGGTTTATAACACCTGACTTACGAGTAACGTATATAGTATTGCGTATAATAATATATAGTTTGCATCGGGTATATTATTTAATATTAACTACTAAAAGAAAAATTATATCTTGACCGTGGGAAGAATATAATATAATAATTCCTATGAAATAATTTTGTATAACGTATTCGTGCTTGACAACGGGTTTATTGAAATCTTCTGGCGAAATCATTTCCAACCCACGGTAGATTCACATAAATAAATAATTGGTTAAAATGTTTATATTTATGGGAAAAAATGTTATTTATTGTTAGTATCTCTTACTTTTAGATATTTTTTTGTCCAATCGTTTTGTTTTCGTTACGATAAAAAGATTCTATATAGTATACAATATATAATAATTTATATAATTTATAAAATAGAAAATATTATTTATATACATGCGCATATATATATATCATATATGTATGAGGTATATGAAATATTATATGAAGATTAAAAATTATATACAGCTCATTTGTAAATTTTAAAAATATTGTACTATTTAAGGAATCGTATTATTATTATTATTTTTTTTTTTTTGTAATCTTTTAAAGTGTACATAAAATATAAATCACGAAAACACAAGCTCATTTATTTATTGACCTATAAAATATGATGATATATAGGTATTACTACTTTATTATATAATATTCACATTTCTACTGTAATATGTATATGTTTTTCCATGACTATGTATACTATAAACTATAAATTAAAAGATATTTTTTGTTTAATCGTCGTCGTCGATTGATTTTAGAATGTCTTTTTTTTCTTTTTTTGTATACTCAAAGAAAAAGAAAATATTTTTAACTTATGTATTATACCTATATACTATGTATAATATATTATTGTATACTTTAAGAGTCGCTATATATATTTTCAACCTTTATTGTTTTAAAATATGTTTTTCTTTTCGTTTTTCCTTTACCATATATATAATATGTACATCACAAGTGTTATGCTGAGTCTGACGATACGTTTCAGTATAGAAAACAGTGTTATTATTCAATATACATAATATATTACATATATTATACTGTATAATAATACGAGCATAATATTATAAATTATTATCCAAACAAAAAATAATCCTAACACATTAATATACATTATGATGAAAAACAAATTAAAATATAAATCATCATTAAAACAAAATAGTTTTTATTTTACTAAAATCTAGTATTTGGTAGGTACCTACTACCTATACCCGAGTAAACTGCAGGTATAGAGTGCATAGGTACACACTTGCAGCTTAGTATTCTGATATAATTTAGTCCTAATGTAATTTAAGTTATAACTAATAGTAAAACTCCAGTCTCGATGTTTTATTTTATAGTATACTTTTCAAAAGTATCTAATTACTATCCCTTGAAAATAAAAAAATACTCTTTATATAATTTAACCTTTTAACGTCCCTCTATAAGTTTTTTTATAATTAATACCCATCAACTAACACTTCGGAAAACATATTTATAGCTAGATGATTATTAGTTAACTATCTTATAACTGTTCATTAGAACTGCTGTTAATTATTTTCTTAGAAAAAATAATCAGTTTTTTAAAGACATAGGTATAGTTATACAAAGTGTAATTCAAAAAATAAAACTCATTCAAATGTACAGCAAAGGTTAACGCTCACAGCAGTGGATCTATACTCTGATGAATCAATATAATTTACTTACATTTTTAAGAATAAATAGATAGGTGTCTCATGAATTAAGTACTCGTATGAGTTATAAGTACAGCTGTATCCATTTTAAAAATAACTATTATACATGTCTGACTTCGGTACATAACTTCAATTTTGCAAACTTATAGGATATTAAATAAAAACGTATACGTGTACCCTAAGTAAACCTGTACAATATACCTTCTCGATTTAGTGAGTTCTGTACAGGGTATCCGTCTTTCCCATAGTCACTATATGATATACAGTTCTACCATACAACTGGACGGATTCTTATCCAATACGACGCATTCTTGGCACCACGAGGAAGATTCCACTGTCTTTTTTTTCGAAGCCACGATTTGAATAATATATGGCAGTATGCGAGGACGAGTTGGGTACATATTATAAATTATAATCAACTATATCATCGTAGTTAAAATAACAAGTACTTAGATCCCACGTGTAGTCGATATCACCATGTCTCAAGCTCCACGTAACACTTATTAAACTATATATAATATAATATGTACGAGTTCGGATACATAAGCGCAATTTGAAGGAGGCTGGGGAGCACTTAGTATTATCACCCCCAGTTTTTTTGTTGACATATAGTGCCACCGATCAGAGATATGACACTGCAGATGGACGGACGGGCAAAGACACATTTGTATTAAACTTATGGATTGCCACATATCGTACCTATACGAATCGTTTAGCCAACACAACTGACACCATTGTCAACTACTGCATTCCATCTGTTTTCATTCTTGTGCCAAAAATGACAAAATATTGAAATTGATACACATGGCACTCAAAGTGTTAAATGTAAGTTTCTTTACAGCTGTGCAGAAGCTTCTGTGCGAGTGAGAACCATCGGTTCTCTTTCTCCATTACGTTGGCCAAAAAGCATGATAATTTATTATATTTAGTGAACAGACTGTAGATAGGAATGCCCGATGCCGTATCTACATTATATTTAATATCGATGCATACGTGCCCAAGATACTTTTCAATGAATATTATATTATGTAATATAATGAGTGTGCGTATATATACCGGTAGATATACCTAAATTATATATTTTATGAATTTAAAATGATTACGGTTTCGCATAATCCACATCAACTACTAATATTTTATATTATTACTATAATATCATGAATCATCATAATTATTATAATATAACATCCAAGTATCGACGCGATAAAAGTTTACCGCGATCGACCTTGGGTACGGCCCAGACGGTATTCCGGCGCGCGACAACAATGCGGCGTGTTGGCGCGCGCGTGCAGGCGGTGAGGAGGACGACGAAAAACAATGGTCCGCGCGCACCGAGTGCGTCTCGCGTGTGCGCGTACAGGACAGGTAGGTACCTATGTATAATATAATATAATGTACCCTTTTGTTTTTGTCTTTATCGCTAGCGCGCGCATATAATACAATATTGTACACACAAACCGTGTAATTAACTCTTTCTACGCGTGCGCGCGACATGTAGGAAATCGACACAAAGATATTATAATATATTTATTATATTAATAATAATATAGATGGGAATAATAATAGTAATATAGTAATAACAACAACAACATATATGGCGTATTTGGTAGGTCCATGCGGTGTACACTATAATAATATTATATAGGTCATTTCACTCAGCCACTCATCATGTACCCATAAACATTTTCTGTTTTCCCCAGTTCTATTATTTTTCCACGTTTATACCACTACAGATCTATATTAGATACAAATAATAATTTAAACGATTATAATTTTGTATGGTATACAGTCTATACGATTTTCGAACGGGTCTTACAAATAATATATTACACGCGAGATACATATGCACTTATATTATTGTGGCTGCAGCTGCGGTGAGTGTCGTATTATATACACATTACGTGTATAATATTATTATGCTGCACCTATACAGAGTGCCGCGTCACGTACACCCGCCCACCCTGCCGATCATACGTTTAGCGTAAGTATTATAGTACCTATATCTCCGTGTACAAAGTGTTAGTTGTGTTGGAGGTGGTGGTGGTTGTGGCGTATCACCCTTCGCCAGTCACCCTCAATGATTGTTTTCCCTTGCGGTTCGTCACATTTTTATCTTACTTGCGGCGACTGGAGTTACGAGTTACTTGGCACTATAATAATGTTTAAGATTTCGTAACTATCACTAAACAACTAAAACCAATAGATAATTTGACTTTTAGACTGATGTGATGTATGCATTTAATAACCCGGGGACAAACAACATTTTGTCACAGAAAACGAATTTTTAATTTTTTACCTTTTTTTACGATTTATTTGTGTACCGAGATGTTGAAGGCAATTATGATCGGATACCTGAACATGACATTATATCAAAATAATGTATTTATTGTACCAACGGCTATATCTGTGATTTCAAAGATGTATGGATTCACAATTTCCGATCATTTAGAATTATGTTATTATGTTGTGACATATTATTTCGTAGTGTGGTAGAAATGTGATCAAAACATTTAGGGAAAGCTCACTCGGCGAGCTTATTAATTTCCTGGTTTCTAAACGTATTTTATGTACAGTACCGCGGACAATAAATAAATATATATTTATTTAGTAACAGCAATCGTAACTATATGAACCAAACCCGGTTTAAGGGGAGGGGACACGGTCCCAGGGCCAATTTTTATCCCAGAAATGTATTTTTTTTAATGATTCAAAACAGTTTTCAAAAAAATTAAATTATTTTAGTTGGTATACCTAGTAATTGTAAAATAAAAATATTTTAATTTTATATCACTAAACATTACTAAATTATAATAAATATTAAATTTATATTCAAATTTATA